GGGGACCGCTGTTCTAAATCACTCTAAATTTGATGATTTAGAAATCAAGACCATTACCTGTGGGGTCGGGGAACTGCTAGAGACTTTCCAGCCTGCCTTGTCTTATTTTTTTCTAATTTCTTTCAAGCCCATCTGTGTTTTTACCTCCTTATAATTAAATTAAATCATAATTAAAACCATAAAAGTTAAAGAAGTTGTTTCTGTTCTTCACACCTTCAGAAGTTAACTCTGGTTGTTCCTTCTAATAGATAATAGACAGTCGGGGTACCTGAATGGATGTGAAGCTCTTTTCTTTGAAGTTTCAGTAAAAATCAGCTGTAGCAGAAAATATTGCATCTCAAATAAACAGCATAACTGTGTAGTGGAAGAAAACATCAAGCTTCAGATGCGGTTTTCTGTATGTGTGCGCTGCTTTGAGGAAACCTGGTAAAGTATTCAGGAGCTTAAATGAGTTCACTTTCGGTTTCTGGTGCAGATTGGGCTTCCTCTCTGTGGCGGTGTCCTGTGTGGGTCGTGGGTGTTGTTGTTCTTTCATAAACTCTCTGGTCTTGTTCCATGTTTGTTTTTAAACGTCAGGGTTTTGCTTGCATGGATTTTTCTTTTTCCTGTTATTTGTGTGTAGTTTAAATGTAGTACGTTTATTTTCTTACAGTTATTAAGCAAAACTTTTTGCCTTGCAGTCATGACATCCATCGCTAAGGGCAGCAAGCCTGCTGGGAGTTTTTACATCAGCAGAGCAAAATTATGACTTAAATGAAATGTTACGCTCAGCTGACTTAATGAAATAGTTTGAGACTTGAAATCCCCAGAGCAGCTTTTTGATTAAAACACTTCAGTCGCCTTCAGCCAACAGATTGTATCTCGCTGCCTGCTCTCACCTGCGCACTCCCTTTCATTTCTCTCACTGTCTCAGTTTTCTTTCTTTCTTTTTCACTGGTGCTGTAGGTGTTATTATTCATATATAATCCGTCACCTTTGACCTCTGAGAACACCGACACGTCCTCTACAGATGTAACTTGTGATCCTAAATCTGTGTCCCTGCAGGTGGGATTCATTCCCCAGGTTTCGAGACAGGCGACACTCTGAGCTGCCAGTCTCTGATGAACGCAGACGGCCTTTACCTGGTGTCTTACTACGCTCTGCTGCTCAATCTCAAACTCTGCTGCTGCGGCTACTACAGGCGGCGAACGCTCACGCCCGTCCTCAGCCTGGTGAGAGCGAGTTTCGTTGCCTCTGATCAGTTTTCTCCGGTGTTTAAAGACAAAGATTCAAAGATAAGAAGTAAAACCAAACCAATGCAACTGCATCCTGTAGTTTATTTAAAAGTATAGATGTATCTTTGTGTTCCTCTAGCCACACAACTAAATACTGAATCAGCTCTACTTAGACATTTAAGCTACTTCAACTATTCAAACATAACAGCACTGAATTGGATGCAGTCACACTTAATGGGTGGACGTTTGTTCTGTTGTGCAGAAGGAGTTTGTGCGTCTGATCCAGAGCAGCGGCGTCCTCGTGGTTCTGTCTCAGGCCTGGATCGAGGAGCTTTACCACCAGGTGTTGGAGCGCAACCTGCTGGCTGAGTCTGGGTTCTC